TGATCGGACGGAACAAAGTTGACCCATTCCTCTGCCAACAAGCACTGCTCTCTCTTCAGGTAAGGCAAAGGGCAGGGAGGGCTGCGCTTTGTCTGATGTAAGGCTGTCCGAGAACAGAGGCCGTTTGGTCGGCAAGCGAACGGGAAAGGGAGAGGGGGGAAAACATGTTGAGATTTGGTCGAGAACGGGAGGCGGGGTTAGGGCTCGACAGCTGTTTTGGAATCGATTTGCACTTCAGTCCGTAATTTTTTTTCCAAAATGTCACTTTAGTCCTCAAACTTTGTCATTGTTGCCTTAAGTCCCCAAGAAGTAGAACCTCCATTTTAAATTTTCACAATTTGACACAAAGCAACATTATTTTGATTTAATTTCGATTTTTGTTTGAACAAATTTTCTGAGTTAATTTCCTAGGTCATGTTAAAACTTAAAATTTTTAAATTTTCATTTAAAACAAAAGTTTGTGAGACATTAATATTTAAAAAAAAATCAAAAATTTGGCAAAAATATCAAAAAGGGCAAAGTAAAAATCAAGTTATGTTAGGAACTACTGTACTTTTTGCCTTCCAACTTTTGGAAATGGGAAAGTACCGGATTAAAGAAACCAAAACTCTTTACAAAACAATGGACACCAGTGTTCATTTCAGGTACGTTACAAAGTCAAGGGACCAAAATGAAATTGGTTGCAAAGTTGATGGACTATGAGGGCAGTCTATGTAATACTACTGAACATGTTATTGTTAAAACTTAAAACACAATAGAGTTTTGGCAAGAGGCAACGATTACTTTGACTCAGACAATAGTTCGCAATTCACAAATAGAAAAATGGCGAGAGGAATTTGATATATTTTACAGGAAGAAAATTGAGTAGGTGACCTACCAAATCAACAACACAAGATTATGGCACAATATTCAATGCTACTAGTAGTTGATGCGCATTTACCTAGAAATGCATTTGGAGTAGCCCATTACGATCTAGCATCAAGTGACATAGTTGGCGCAGCAGCTAGACTTATGCTGCTATGATCTGAAGCTGGCAGTTCGGAAGGAACAAAAGCAGGCTTAGGAGGCATTTCAAGAAGCTCAACTTCACTTTCAAGCATCTCCAAGACTTTGGTCATAGAAGGACGAGTGGCAGGTTTCATTTGTATGCACCACAATGCAACTATGGCCATCTTCCTCACAACATTCTTTTCAACATCAGTAACATCTCCCAACTCTATATCCTCTCCTTGATCAAAACGTTCAGAAATCCATCTTGGGAAGTATATCTGACTTGATTGATCAGCGAATGCATTTAAGTTCCTTCTCCTTCCCACCATTTCCATCAACAACATTCCAAAGCTATAGACATCAGCTTTGTATGAGACACCTCCAATATTCTTGTAGAATAATTCTGGAGCCATGTATCCTAAGGTACCTCTTGTTGCAGTAAGAGGTACAATACTGTCATCTGTTGGATACAATTTTGCAAGGCCAAAATCTGAAACTTTTGGATTAAAGTTCGCATCCAAAAGGATGTTGTGTGGCTTGATATCAAAATGTAGAATCTGCATTTCGCATCCTTGATGTAAGTATTCAATCCGCCTAGCCACTCCAAGAGCAATTTCAAACATTCTTTGACAAGTTAAAGATGTGTTATTTTCACTAGAAAATATGATTTTATCCAAGGATCCATTTGGCATGAAATCATATAAAAGAGCTCGTTTAGCTCCCTCCACACAAAATCCGATCAATCGCACCACATTAACATGATGAACCCTTCCAATGGTAGCAACTTCATTGATAAAATCTTGGCCATTAGCTTTTGATTTGCTCAATAATTTTACTGCCACTAAATTGCCACTTCGAAGCTTTCCTTTGAAAACCGAACCATAACCTCCTTCACCTAATTTATCTTCGAAACCTCTAGTCATTTTTTTTATTTCAGAATAGGAGTACTTAATAGGCATGAAATTGTTTTGCTTTTGAAGGAACTCTTCAATTGTATCATCTACAGACAAATGTCTCCTACGAAACTTGTACACAATAACTGCAATCATGATGGATAGCCCCAGCAATGTTCTTGCCAAAATAAGCCCACCTTATCACAAAAAATTAAGAATAGGATCACGTCACATAGTTATATATCACTATTACCCACAAAGTAGTTCTTTTTTTTTTTTTTAATGTGAAATTGAGACTGACCTGTTACTTCAATAAATATGCCAGCGGAATCTATTAAAATAACAAAATGAAAAAGACATATAAGCACATAAACATACAGTAGTAAGGAATGAGTATTAATTCCCAGTAAAAATTGAATTAGAAAAGCATACCTCTATAGTCGTAATTGTGAAAAGCGTAACGGTCACCTCGAATTAATTGTACAAAGTCGTAGA